AGGCAGTTGATGGCCAGGGTGGTTTCGGCGGTATGGCTGGTAGAGCCATACACTAACCCTACCCCAAACCCTAACCTTGTTTTGATACCAACTTGAAATAATTGTGAGTAAAAGGAGATACTCAAATTAAGAGTAAAACCCCGTATATATAGGCAAAATATAAAAATCATAGTAAGGGTAAAAAAGGGAAAAGAAATCCTAAAGGGAAAAGAAATCCTAATAAACCTAGGGAAGAGAAATCCTAATAAACCTAAACTATCTATACTCTAACATAATGTAAATAAAGATCAACACTGAGAATAATTTTTCAGTATGTTATTGTTGATACTAATTTTTTTTTGTTAATTGTCTGAGAAGAACACCCAAATACCAAGTCGAAAGCAGAAAAAATTTCAAGAGTCGAGCTTCCGATACTTAAATTAGAAATGATATGAAAATTTGAACAAATGAATGGCAATATAGTGGTAAGACTGATTTAGGATTAAATAGTTCCCCTAGGACATCAAGTGAACGTGACCTACGACCAAATGTGTCTCTATCTATGTTTGAAACTCAACTTTATTAGCTGCAATTTTAAGTAGCCGAGCAACGGATAAGCTTAATTAGAGGGGTTGACACATCAATTCGAATTTAGTTCGAAATAAATAATTTCTCATCCGAATTTATTTGTGTCTTCATAACTAATGAATCAACAATGATCGAGAGAAAAATTAAAGCGACAACAAAAGTATTCTATATATAAAGGGCAAAAAACTAAAAATAGACATTACATGATGTGATGCTAATTCGTTATATAGATTTGTAGAGAGTGGGTTTTTTAGTCAATTCACTTCGTATATGAATAGAGTATGCTCATTTTTTTGGGGTGAGAGGGACATTGTTTTGAGAGAGATAGAAAGCGGGATTTTATATTAAGACGGAAATGACTAACTCGCAGTTTGATCTTACCTTGTAATAAATAAAAGAATACCTATGTAAGTGGGTTAGACTTTTAATAGGAGCTTTTTAATCTGTTTCATCTTTCTTTTTTCGTTTGTTTTCTTTCATGAGCTGCACTTGGCAGAAAGCTGCCGACATTGTTGTAGAAAAACCTCCATTCACGAAAGAAGTCTAAAGATTAAAGAATAAAGATGGTGACCCTACCTCCAGAGAAGAGAAAGAAGGGGGGGGGGGGGGGGGGGGGGCTATAATAGTAATCAAGACTTCATACGTATGTGGTACTGGACGGGCACAACAGTGGCCTACCTCTTTGTTGATTGCTCCTCCATATGTATATTTGTAGTTTTGCGATTGTATATATGTTAGCACCAGACTACATGGCTATAGCTACGGTACCTAAGCAATAGACAAAACTAATGTCTTTTAATATTGTAAAAAATAACGACAACGTTATCATTTAATTTAAACACTTTTTTAATGAAGTTACGTCATTATAATGTATATTTTTTTTTATAAACACAAATCAAATACATGTGTATTTAAAAAAAAATAGGCACGCAATTAATATATATATACTTGACATTTTTTATATATACCTTCAAGCTAAAAAATGACAAGTATGCAATAAATAAAAAATAAACAGGTACGTAATAATCTTCAGACATATATAATAAAATATAAATTGTTAGAGAGGTACATTAATACATAGATCGTTAATGTACCTTCTTTTTCATAAACAAAGATTATCAGACAGGCATACTAAAATACAGATTGTTAATGTACATTCTTCTCTTTAAACATGGATCGTCCGATAAATATACTAAAACACAGATCATAGGTTCCCTATCAAAGATCACAAGTTCACTAAAACAAATATTATTAATGTATATTCTTCTCCATAAATACAGATTATTAGACATGTACACTAAAAACACAGATCGTCGGATAAATACACTAAAACACATATTATTAATGTACATTCTTCTTTATAAACACAAATCGTCAGACATGTATACTAAAACATAAATCGTAAAAAAGATATACTAAAACACATTGTTAATATACTTTCTTCTCCATAAACACATATCGTAAGATAGATACACTAAAATACGGATCGTCAAATGTTATTATAATATCCAAATAATTTGGTTCACGAGTTTGAATTTTAAAACTGATAGACAACATCGCAAAAATATCAATAATAAAAGAAAAAAAAAAGGAACTAACTATATTTTGCCCTTATCATAGGTAATGAAATTAGTAACCAACCAATCTCTTAATATTTTCGCGAACAAAGGGCAGCATTCAATTTTTTTTAAAAAATTGAAGGACTTTTTTTTATACTAAAAATTCGGTAGAACAAAAATTAGTTTACACACTAAATGAGGGATTCTAGTCTAATAAACTATAAAAAATAATAATACAAATTTTCAAAAGATAAGTCTTTGATTAGATAAAAAATAGAGATACGGTACAAAAACAAAATAGGAAATATTTTAGCCACACTCTTTCTACTTTATCATATTTTTAAGGACACCCCATCTATTATGCAAACCATCAATGACAAACTCTTCTAGTTTGTATTTAAACATCACTGACACCCTTACTAATAAACCATCATTTCTAATAAAAAAAAATCATCCAAAATATCAAAATTATTCCTACATAAACTTCAAACAATCTTTATACATAAAATATGAGTCAATTAAATTTTATTTTTCTACATATTAAAATTTGAGTTGATTAAAATTTATTTTTCTACATGTTAAAATTTAAGCAGATTAAAATTCGAATTGAACTGATTAAATTTTATTTTTTTACATATTAAAATTCAAGCCTATTAAATTTTTTTACGAATCAAAATTTGAGCCAATTTGAACTCCACATGAGCTGTTAGCGTCGATTAAATTTTTTTTGAGTCGATTAAAAATGATATTTTTCTTATTAAAATTTGATTCAAATTGATTAAAATTCATTTTTTACGTATTAAAATTTGAGTTGATTAAAATTTATATTTTTTAATATATCAAATTTGAAACAATTAAATTAAATGCTAGTTGATTAAAATTTGATTTGATTTGATTAAAAATTTTGATTCAAGCCGATTAAAAAATCATTTTTAATTGGCTCGAATCAAATTTTAATATGTAAAAAAATATAATTTTTAATCCACTAGAATTTTAAAATGTAAAAAATAAATTTTAATTAAGTCAAACCAAAGTTTTAATTATCTCAAATTTTAATATGTAAAAAATCTAAAAAATAGAGGGGTCTAATTGAAGATATGTCTATTTAGATGGGGTGTGAATGATATTTTTTCTAAAATATATCATGGACAGTTTTGTAAAATAACATTCTAGTGAACACTTTTAATCTTATAAGGGGTGTCAATGAATATTTAAAAAATAGAAGGAGTGTCCTTAAAAATATTATAAATTAAAAAAAATGTAACTGAAATTTTCCCAAAAAATTAAATTTAGATGACATAGTTAGACCTGTTAGAGTACGACTGGCTTATTGGTAACATTCTGGATTGAATCTTACACCGGAAATGCAGCCAAGGTGATTATTATGTCAGTTTTGTTTGGCGTATATGTTCAATAGCATGGTAATACATTGATATTATGACATTATAGATGCATGGTATCAATGTTGTCATGGATCAATTATAATTATATAAATAAGTTTAGTATCATATTCTGATGGATCAGGCCTAAATGGCCCGATCCATGTGGAAAGTCTAAACTTAATTAACAGTCCAAGATTATAGAAGACCTAACAGACTCTATGTGATCCAAGTCAGTCAAGTCCATCAGAGAGCTATGCCACCAAGGGAGCATCAATGAACTTCACTCTCGTCGCTTGGAGAGAGTCAATCTTCCCTCGTTTTTGACCTTGTTAGAAGTCGATTTAGAAAATTTTTATGAAATACACATTTATATAGTTAGATCAATTGGACGTCGAGATAAAAAGTTATAGTCAAAATACTAATACATCCCATAATAATTTCAAAGTTTTAACTCTAGAATAATTTTAAACTTTTAATACATCCCATAAAACCTCTCTCAACATTTTTCAATTTTTCGGATTCAATAGTAATCTTATTTTGACCAAAAAAATATTTAAAAACTTGTTTAACTTCCATTCTTAAGTTTAAATATCTCCAAAACTATTGACAAAGTCCATATGCGTAAAATTCAAACTTCATAATTAAATATTTTTAACAACGATTTGAAGTTTTTTATCATTCTTTTGTAAGTAGTTTTAATCTCATATTATTCATCTTTAAATTTTGCACGATATCTTATAGAAGTGGGTTTTGCTTTCTATTTTTTAAGGAAATGCCTTCGTGCTTTGAGATTTGGAAGTTATGAAAAACTAGAGTTCATGTTGGCTACAGATGCAAAATAATGTTTCTGTTCTTGGTTTGACGAACTCAAAGGCTCACGTAAAATTTCATTTATTTTTTCTTTCATTTTTTGCTGTGATTTGGTGGTATTGTTGTGAAAGTGATGATTGAATGGAACCATAATTTTTGGAATTGAGGGAATAATTGATGAAGTTTTGTGGAAATTTAACCTAATTCAATTCAATGATTACGAATTATTAAATTGGTAAACTAAGTGTAAGTAACATTGCTTTATTCTTTGTTTTACCGTGCCAAGATGGATACATGGTATAGTTTAAGTGCCAGGAATTGAATACGCTTAAAGGTTTGTTTTATTATTAATGATAAAATATATGAAAACCCATATCTATGGATATGGACAATACAATTACAAACATTTTTCAAGGATACAAAGACTCAGCCTTTAGCTGACTAATTATATACCTTTTCATATGGACAGTAAACATTCTCAAATCAATAATAGATACAACCAGAATAAAACAAAGCAAACACTGTGAAGGTATCAAACATGACAAAAGTAAATACAAATTAAATGATTAATAATAATAATAATAATAATGCACTGCATGGACAAACACGCCCTCAAAGTATACCAGTAGAATTACCAAAATGCCCTCGCTGGCGTTGACAGAACCATTACTACCAGCCTCCACTATGCAGACACGGCGGCTATTGTACCTCCAACCTCACGTGGATGCAAGTACACTTTGAGCCCATGCTTCATAAACAGGGTCAGAGACATCTTCTGTTCGACCCGGTGACCCGGAACCAGGGTTAGCCGGTAACGCAACAGTACGGCCGACACCACAGACTTCATTTGCAGGTAGGCCAAGTCCTTCCCTAAACAAGTCCTCGGTCCACCATTGAAGGACACAAACTTGTACCCATCCTTGGGTGGTTCGAACCGGTCTCCACCGGTCGAGAGCCACCTCTCTGGTTTAAACTCCAAGCAATCCTCTCCCCATATAGTCTTCATCCTCCCCACCGAATATATTGAATATGTCACCGTTGAACCCGCCGGAACATGTGTTCCGTCTGGTAAAACGTCGTCGTAGATGACATACTTGAAGTCCTCCGGCACCGACGGATACAGACGTAGGGTTTCGGCTAGGGCCGCCTTCAGATAAACTAGCCTATCGGCTTCGTCGAATACGAGTGGTTCTTCAATCCATGTTCGTCGATCTTCGCCGCGGGTTTCTCGCAAAACTGAAGATATTTCGTTGATGATCTTTTCTTCGACGCGTGGGTGGTTCATGACGAGCCAGAAAAACCAGCTCATTGCCACCGATGAAGTGTCACGGCCGGCGAGGACAAAGTTGAGAGCAATGCGTTTGAGAACTGAGCTTGGGAAGAGGTTTCCATCAACGTCTCTCTTGTTCATAAAGCGAGACAAAAGATCGTCTGAGGGTCTTTCTTTACGTTCCGTGAGTGCTTCAGTCATGTACTTGTCGACAACTTCGAGGCTCTTCCTCAGTCTTATTTCAGCTCCAATGCCAAGAATCTTTTTCAACCTCCATAGAATACCTGGGTACAACAATCTTTGCAGGGTTGCTTCAGTGGCTGAATCAAAAGCAATGGAAAATGGGTTTTCGGGTAATTTTAGCGAGAGTGTCTCTGGGTCTTTGCCAAATGTGAGTCCGCATATGTTATCGAAGGTTAATCGAAGCAACAAGTCTTGTAAATCTACAGATGTATGCTCTGAAGAGGCTTTCTCTAAGATTAGCCATAACCGTGTCTTGATGGTCCGGCTCACCCACCTAGCCAGGGCTTGCCGGAGGGTTCTTGTTGTGAACTCGAGAGCCGCGGTTTTACGTTGTATAAGCCACGTTTCGCCATCACTGTTGAATATACCTTGACCTAGAAGATCATGAAAAGCAGTCTGCCATTCGGGTCCTTTGGGATAATTATCGAACCGGGTCCGGAGGATGTGTTCGAGGTTTCTCGGGTGGCATGTGACTGTATAAAATCCTTGTCTACGAGCAAGGAATGGTATGGCAATGGTACATGTCTGGTATGTGGCCGCACCACCAGTTGAGCGGAGGTTTCCGGCTATCCAGTCATGAAATCGTCTCCGGTTCAGGAAGAGAAGCGGAAGGCTACCCACAACCGGCCATACTTTTGGACCGGTGAGTTTACGGGCTAGGTGGTGGAACCAGAGGAGATATACTAACGTAGCAGCTACTATGCTGTAGAGGATGAGTAGGGTTTCCATGCGAGGAGATAGTAAAGTACTAAGTAGAGAAGAAGAGTGGAGAAAATGGGTTAATTCTACTTTTTTGAATATGAGAAAGGAGAGACTAGTGTTATATATATAGATTGTGATATTATGAGAAAGATTTTGGAGGGAGTTGTTGAGAATTTTTAACAGAGAGAGAGAGAGAGAGAGAGAAGGTTGTTTGGTTGATAGGAAACTAGCAGGAGTTTTTATACATACGAAAGCTTTGCATGCTCATTTTTGAGTGGTAATGTTAGGAGGGTGGTGGCCCTACGCACTGAAACAAGAGCAAGCCAAGGTTGTGCTGGCACATAGTGTATGGTTTATTGTACTTGGAGCCCACTTCAAATCCCAATTTCTTTCACTCTTGAATCGCTTGAATGGATGGAGTTTTTTTTTTTGGATTCAGCCTCAAATTAAAATTCCTCTATAAATATGATTGATGGTTTGATTGAAATTTTATATATTTAAATCTAAAATTATTAAATCATATTTTACATATGAGATATCCCAATATTCAATCGGGATTTTATATGAAACTAAACAAAAATTCTATAATTAGAAATCAATTGATTATTCTATAAGATAGAAGAAAACCTATATACAATTTAATAAAAGTAAATTTTAACTTAGCTAATCAGATCAAATCAGATTTGTAGAATGAATTTGTATGAGTTATTTGAATACCATAAATAAAGATATAACCATGATTCATTTCGATAAAACCCCAATGACAAATTTCAAAGTTTTGAAAAATTTCCCAAGAGTTTTATATGTCTGCCTTAAATAGCCAGCATTTATGTAAGTATAGCCCAATATTTTCACGAAGAAGCTGAAAATATTCTGTTTATCGAGTATTACGTGACAATTTTATGTAGTGTCTATAATCAACGAAAAATTATCATACAATTTATTTTGTCAAGTTATAATATTTGGTAAGTGATGTACACCACTTAACATTATCAAATAATACTTATGAGTATAGAATATTTGTGAACTATATAGTGTGAATTTATTTTATTTAGATTGTAATAATTATTCTGTATGCTAGGGTTATGAGGTTGCTTACATTTGTCTTCAACTCCTGTACTTGACTTCTTTTTTTTTCTATAATTTTTTTAATTACAATTGAACAATATTATGTGAATTTACTGTTGGTCTCAATATGTATTGTGATCTACTATCTATTCAACAATTAGTCCACATTTTAACTTCAAATTGCATTTCCAATGACAAATAGGAGACTTGCTTCAATTGTGGTCTACCAAATCTAGAAGGATACAGCTTCTAACTACTTGAAAGCAAGATCATAGTTTTTACAGAAACCTAAACGACTTTTCCTCTTGCTTACTGAGTCAGAGAGAGAGAGAGAGAGAGAAAGAGTGGTTGGGAAACGGTTTACCCGCGTTGAGAATTTGGGTTTGTTTCAAAACCTGGGAAAAAAAAATGTCATGGCTCGTGAACAGGAAGCCACAAGAAGCTGAGAGCACACGACAAGAGTTTGACTCTCTTGAGTGATGAGTAGCTTCTGAGAGGAGAAAATGTTCTGATTAAGACATTAGCATGTGATGAAACTTTGGTTTTGCTCTTAATTTCTTAAGGAAACAGAGAACCCGCAACCACCCCCAAGAAATTAAATTTCAACTACTACTTCTGGGTGCTGATTTTCTTGGCAGGTTCTTCGAAAATGAGTTTTTTTTTTTTGTTACAAGTGTACAAATTTATGTCAACCACTTTCTAAAATTTTGAGTCAATCATCATAATTCAAATTAATTTAAAAAAAAATTTCTTAAAGAATAAGAGTGATTGAACTTTAAGAAATATAATAAATATCCAACTTAAGACCTCTTATTTACATGACGATAGACTTGATCATTATACAACTCTAAAGCTAGGTTGTTGAATCTCTATTATGGATTGAATCCTCTTAATAGTAATTTTTTCAATTTCCAACAAGTTCAATCTTCTATAATCAATTTTTACAATTTCCGTCATCTATCGTGAATTTATTGAGTCCACAAGATTTTTGTAAAAAAAAATGTTATTTGTATCTAATTTGAAAATTTAATTAATTAGAAAGTAGAAAGAATTGATTTTTTTTGTATATGGTAAGACAAAAAATGTATTTTTTCTATTTTTTATTTTATTTTTTGAAAAAATATAAATACATATTTTATTATTATATTTATATATGAAATTAATATATACATAATATATGATTGATAAATATGCTATATGCATATATCAAAGGTTATATAGATAAATAACATACATTTTAATGCACATAATAAAATTTTCATCTTTTTTTCCTTCTAATTTTTGAGGGATTGATTTTAGTGAGTTAAAAGGAAAGCTCATTCATCTATTTTTCCATCCTTCCTATTTTTCTTCCTTATCAATCATAATCTTTTATCTATTTTTATAACTTTTCACCTTTCTATTTTTTTACCGTACTAAACGAAGCAAAACGATCTTCGTTTTCAATATTTCAAAGGCACTGTTTTTATTGGTAAATTGACATTATACTATATAGTAGTTTTTTTTTTAATTTAACCTTGAGCCCATATAGGAATTTGCCTCTGTATTTCTAGAAAATATTAACTATAACGATGATACCACATGAAGTCACTATTTAATAATAAATTAATTAATATATAGGAGCAAGTAAATCCTACTTAATTTAGTAATTACCTTATGTAAAATATTATTTGGATTTAATTTTAATGTAACCATTAGGTTCGAAGTGAATTTCGCCTAACACTAGAACACATAATTGATTGCATTGAATTAGATTTTTTTAATATTTTCCTAAATTAAGTCCTATTCACCGTACTCAATTTTAAAATTATTATTAAATAATAATATTACACGACAACGATGATATAATATTATTGTTGCGCCTAATATTTACTCACTCCATAGGCAAAAAGTACCTTTACTAATGAACGGTTGTTAAACTTTCTTTTTATCTGCAAGAGCACGTTGTAAGACCTTAACGTTAGACCCAAAGTAAGTACAGTACTTACAGCTTAAACCCAGCAGCCCAGGGCAAACCAACGTCCAACGCTGCTTGTAAACAACATACAGAAGCAGGAAAGCAAAATCTCCACTATTTCTTCTCGACTCTTGCTCAATCTGCAAAACCTCCAAAAATACGTACAAATTTTAGTACAAGTATCGATTCATCGGCACTTTTCTGAGTTTCATTTCTCCACAACGGCGTACCTTACAGTGAATCTTCTCATCAGGTACTACTAGTCCTCTCGTTTCATATGAATTAGGTTTTATTCATCTTATTTTTGGTTCAATTTCAATGCACTTTGGGACATTCAATTTGAGATTTTCAAGAAATTTACCATCCCTGACTAACATGGAAATAATTTCCGTTTGTTGTCTCATTTTATTGGAAGAATAATGGCAGATCAATACGCATTTGTGCAGTTTATGTAGTTGGTAATTCAGGAAATCGACCACTTTTACTGTATTTATATTATTGTATAAAGAGAAAGCATTGTTTAATATGTTCTTATATGTCTTTGATAAAAAATGTTTAATTACAATTGACTAAAGATGCTAGAAAGTTTCAGATATTGATCTGTTTGGATTAGATTATTCATGAGAATGCAAATGCAAACTTTGGATTATATAATGGCTTGTGCGTTGGAGATGCTACTGATCTCATGTTTGAGCTCAATCAGGTTACAATGTTATGTAGAGAATAAGATTACAATGAGTCAGCGACAGAATGGACATAGAGCATAAGCTTCGATTCGATACTTATAATCTCGCTTGTGTGGGAATAGACCTTTCTTGTGCATACGAGAGCTGATAAATACAGTTATGTTCAAATATATTTGAACCATTTCTATGGGAGAAAAATGGGACACACATGTAAAAGACATTTTCATTGCAGCCAATGAGAAGGTATTATACAGTTTGATTTCTGAGAAAGTCTTAAAATTTTTCTTTGGCAGTTGACATGATAAAGACAACAATGGTGGACACAATTCCAAATGATTTGGAGGCCATGGAAGCCTCTTTGCTGAGGTTTCTCACTCTATTTGATGGTGAGTTTGTAGGGTAACTTCCCAATTTTTTTGTGATACACCAGGCTAGAGTTTGGTTTTACACAGAAATTTCTCATTCAAGTTGTTTTCTTGCTTCTTTTTACCATATTTTTCCAAGGATCAGTCTACTAACGTTTTCACAACCCTATTTAGTAGAAAAGTTGAATCCAGCAGTAGATATGCTAACCCTTCAGTAGGAATTTGCTCAAAACCAGCGCTGTCCATTTTACGTTAGTAGCAAATTAACGCCATCTTTTGTTTGACCAAATTCTAGAGATATGTTGTACCAATAACAAGCAAACTTGTTACTTCTGCATGATTTTGAGGAGGTTCGTAGATGCATTATATCCCGTTGTTATTATTTTTGTCTTTTTAGGATTCTGTTAATATATTAATATAATGGTTGACAGATATGGACATTCACCTGCAATTGCGCTGATTTTCATAGAAGAATGGTGATGGGAAATTCTGTTTTAACTTGTTAAATTGCAGTTCCTTATATTTTTTGGTCCCAGCACGCCCTACCATGGTAAATTAAGAAATAGTTGTTTTCTTGTTTTCCAAAGTACTTGAACACACAGATTCATGCTTTGTGTTTCTTTTGGGTATTGGAACTTTTGAACCAGCCAGACTCTGCTGCCGGGGCATGAAACATATGATGAACTTTGTTAGCCATAGAGTTAGAATTATAGTGCTTTTATTGCAGTCAAACTGAAATCACTTCTCATAATAAGAATTTGAATAACATGCATTGTTTCTCCGTGGCAGTTCAATCAATGTGCTGGCTAACTGGTTCCTTAAATGCTTAGGTTTCAGGTGCCTAGAAGGTATATGCATTTTACATATATGACTTGTTTTATGAACTGGTGATCTGCTCTAGATCTGGGGATATCACATATGCATGCCTTGATGGCCTCAAATAGGATAGATACCTAATTGATTAGTATCCGATATAAATTTTTAGGTAATATAGCTCCTCAAAATCAATCGTTGGTTAACTCGTCAGCGTAATTCCGGTGATTTCAATGGTTAATATCTCAATATTACAAGTTAGATTTTCACCCAAAAAAAAAAAGAAGGCATCTTGAATGACTAGTTTGGTTGGTATGGTTTCAATGAATTATTCTGTGTTGTTGTCTAGGCTCTTGTTGATTATCCCCTCAAGCTTAACGTGGCTTGAGTTGAATTAAAACATGTCTTTGAGGGGGTGTGGGAAGGAATTGTGCCGTGTTTTTGTGACGTTTAGATTGTAACAATCTGTGTGGATCAAAAAATGATTGTAACAAAGAAGGTTCTCCTGGAGTGCTTCTTGTATGTCAGTGTATAGGTCAGTGTGCTGCCACGTGTCAAAATTGTAGCCATATTTGCTGACTGTTGAGGATGAGCTCTCACCGTCCATATTTTTCTATGAAATAACAACAAATAAAAAGAGAAGAAATGATTGAGGATAAGACACTTGTGGAGAGCTCGTGCTACAAACACGTCCAAGAAAATTGAAATTCCCCTCACAAATCTTCACCTCCATCGAATTGTTCTCATATATTATCCCCCACCCACTTTGCTTTCCCTCCTCTAAACTAAACTTTGGGGGAAGGAAAAGAAAAAACCTACTTGAGATGGCTTCTTTGAACTTGTTCTTTACTCCGGTGGCCACCACCCAGAGACGAGTACACACGGCGGCCACGGCGGCTAAGAGCTCAGGTGGAAGCAGTGCAGAGAAAGGGCTGTTCGACTGGATCATTGGAGGGTTACAGAAGGAGGACCAGCTATTGGAGACTGATCCAATCCTCCAGAAGGTGGAGGAGAAGAATGGTGGCACCAACGGTCGGAAGAACTCCGTGGCGGTTCCGCCTAAGAAGAAGAATGGTGGCTTTGGAGGCCTTTTTGCTAAGAAAGAATGACAGTCGGTTCATATTTTGTGTTTGACTTAATATCTCTTTGAATATTGTTAAGACTCTACTCCCTTCTTTTCAGTTCAATTCTTGATTTTGAGTTTAATTCAATTTGATGTGGGCTGCTGTGATGCATGTTGGTCACTAATGGTAAATAAATCACTGCCTAAAAATATCAGTGAATGCCATCTATTGTTTCAATTCATTGATATGTTGGCATTCTATGATGTTGATGCGAGTAAATCTACTAAACTCTACTCGCAATAGATTTGATTTAGTAGTCAAATATGATGCAAAGGTACAAATACGCCTGGTAGTTGTTCTTCGCATAAAACTCGAGCTTAGTTAATGCTCATGATTTGTGAAGAAGTGGGTTCATCCGAGATTTATCTTGTAATCATTATTCAAAAAACGTAGGAGAAGAAGATTCATTGAGTTGTAAATTTTCCTTGATTTGAAAAAAATTTGATTAACGAACTCCTAAAATCCAAGTAAGTTGTCAATCATAGTCAAAACAAACTTTCTGGAACACCCACTTTTGCCTGTTCCTCACCCCTCTTCTTATCCTAGCCTTTTTTCCGTTGAGTCTTGCTTGTTGCATAATGCTCCGAGGATGTTAGGAGGCGGATCACACACATGAGCTCATGGCAGCCTTTCATGGCGTTCAAAACCAGTCTTAAAGTGAATGAATGATAAAGTAAGGGAATGATATGACTCTTGCTTGAACTATATCATCAACAGATTTTTCTTACTACACCAATCATTAGTTTTTTTCTATTCCTCTTGTATATCGTCATAAGACTATTAATGTTCTATAACAAACAAAAGACCTTCGGCTAAAATTAAAAAAAGATAAATAAACAGTGATCCGTTACTATATTTTTTATTAGGTCATTCGGATTAAAGCAAGAATCCCTAAATATTCAAAGGCCAGTCGAGTGGACCATCTTTGTAGTCGCCCATTTGCCTCAATTTCCTTCAGTTATGTTTTCATCTCCTTAGTCCCAAAGCTCATCCTCCTCTGCTCTTCGTTTATGTATTCTTTCTCCTTGTTGCTGGTCTTCTTCGCATATAAAAATTTGGGAGGTCTTCCTTCCCTATTCTCTCAAATTTTAGAATTCTAATTTATTTTAGGAAGAATTATACTTAGATCCCTGATATTTAAAATATTATACACAGGCTCCCTGAGGTTGGACGCGCGTAACACTTAGAACCCCTGATGTAAATATATCATTTAATAAATTATACTTAGACTCCTCTAAAGTTTGTAGATATATAATATTTAGACCCTTTAAGTTTAAAATATTATACTTAGACAAAAAATACTCCTATCAAAGATAAAATATCAAATATTTTAAATTTTACAATCAAAATTCATGTTCTACTGTATCATTTATTGAAATAAAATTAAAAAAAAAATTCAATTTTTTTTCTTAAAAAGTCATAATTAGTTTACAATTATATTATCTATTAGAATTTAATTTGATCGTTTAAACAATCAAATTAAATACCAAACTATCCCAATTAAAGTTAAAAGATATTGTGTCTATTATAGTTTGACCTCTTATTTAATTTTTTAGTTTAATTTTAATAGATAGTATAATTATATACTAATTATGATTTTTTTAAAAAAATTAGACTTTTATTTTTGGTTTTATTTCAATAAATGAAATAATAGAACATGAATTTTAGATGTAAAATTAATTTTCTGTTACGAATGGCTTAGATCTCTTGTTTGATTTTTTAGTTTTATTCCGATAGATAGTATAATTGCATACTAATTAATATTTTTTACGAAAAAATTAAATTTTTAATTTTAATTTTATTTCAATAAATGATACGATAGAACATGAATTTTTGTTGTAAAATTTAAAATATTTTATATTTTATATTTGATTGAAGTATTTTTAATCTAAATATAATATTTTAAACTTAAGAGGTATAAGTATTATATACTTACAAACTTCATGGGAGTCTAAGTATAATTTATTAATAGATATATTTATAGTAGAGGTCTAAACGTTACGCACGTACAAATTTCAGGAGGTCTGTGTGTAATATTTTAAATATCGAGAGATCTGAGTGATTAAGTGACAAATCTCAGAGGGTCTGAGTGTAATTCTCCCTTTATTTTAAGAATAATGTTATTGAGATATAATACAGAGATTTAATGATTGTGACTATTGGTTTGTTAGTGAGTTCCAATGCACTCTATTATTAATCCAATTGTCACAATGCATTAAATTTATAAATTATATATTACCTTGTGACATAACTATCCCTCACTAACGAACAATTCCTCATTTACATTTTTTTTTAAACTTTACTTTATGTTATGCAAATTTTTATAATTATTTGCCTAATTTCTTTATTCCTTAAATGGTTGGGAAGGAGAGGAGAAAAGATAGTGAAAGAGATAACTGAAGGTGATGATATATAAATTTTATGAATCGCACAGAATCGTGGCTAGTTTCTCTGATAACATTAACACATTTTACTAGAGTTTGTTCCTAAATAATACTATTAACTGACAATTAATTGTTTGTTCTTTCATCCAGATAGTCATATCCTATGTCTAAACAACTATAATTGCTTATTTAAAAATTCTTAAACTTGCATCCAAACATTTTGTTTTTGTCGGTCTTCTTAGATCATTAATCGTTATACAATCATAAGTTGAACTCCATAAATAAATTTCATTTTCTTTGTAAAATGATTAAAAAGGGTTGACTAATGTTATAAATAGTGCAAACATAGGTTTATGCGAGTTCTTTCGGCCGATACTTGAATCATTTTTAGAGATTTTTGAATTAGTTTACATGCATCTGGACTAATTTTATATTCGATCCACGTCAAGGTTAAGACATTCATAAAAAAAAAAATTCTTCGTGGTTTGACCTCAAAAAATTGTCTTACTCCAAAACACTTTGAACAGTTGACGAAGGCACGATATAGAATTCTATGAAGTCTCAATCATTCAAGTTTGGCTCTTGGAAAAATGTGTGCTCTCTTTCCCCCTCCCTCCCTCTCTTTTTATCTGAGAGCCATGATATGGTAAGAAATTTTGACCAACTTCCTAACAATTTGAATACATTCTAGAATCTCAACAATTATTTTTTTAAAAAAATATATAAAGAGAAATGGCAAAAACTAGTGGGGACGATTTTGTAAAACTCTGAAAAGGGGGGGAAGATGATAATAATGTTTGCTCACTTTAAAACCAACCGGGCCAAGATGGATCGGTTTGCAGCGCTTAACCCGGGTTTCTCGCGGTTCACGAAATGCAGTTGTCTTAGCTGAAAAACAACGGATAGACCAAAAAGCAGATAACAAATTCTCTCTCTCTCACTCTCTCTCCCTCACACACACACACACCCACGCATGGCTGCCTCTGCAACGCCACCATTTTCAATCTCATACTTCTCATCCTCAATCTTCCTCTCATCCCCCCACCATGCCCAGGCCAAACTCCTCTCAAACTCCAAATCCTATTCATTCAAACCCCTAAAATTCCAACCCATCCGCTCAGAGCTCGCCACTCTTCCAATCCTCTCATTCGACGGAACCCAAATCGGCTCAACCACCCTCAACCTCAAGTCCGCCCCGCCTGACACCGCGCGGGCTGTTGTCCACCGTGGCATCACCACCGACCTCCAGAACAAGCGACGCGGCACCGCCTCCACCCTCACCCGCGGCGAGGTCCGCGGCGGCGGCAAAAAGCCATACCCACAGAAGAAAACGGGCCGGGCCCGCCGTGGCTCCAATCGCACTCCTCTCCGTCCCGGCGGTGGCGTAGTCTTTGGACCCAAACCCAGAGACTGGTCCATCAAAATCAACAAGAAAGAAAAAAGATTAGCTATTTCAACAGCTTTATCTAGTGCTCTTGAGAATGCCATTGTGGTTGAAGAATTTGGGGAGAAATTTGAGAAGCCAAAGACTAAGGATTTCATTGATTTGATGAAGAGGTGGGGAATTGACCCGAAGGAGAAATCTATGTTCTTGTTGACGGAGGTTTCGGATAATGTGAGGCTTTCAAGCCGGAATATCGGGACTCTGAAGATGTTGACGCCACGGACTTTGAATCTGTTTGATGTATTGAATTCCGACAAATTGGTGTTTACCCAAGCTGTGGTTAGTTATTTGAATGAGAGATATGGGTATGATTATGAGGGGGAGAGTGAGGGCGATGAGGATGAAGCTGAGGGTGAGGATGAGGATGAGGATGAGGCTGAGGATGAGAATGAAGAAGTTGAAAGTTAGTTTCTTTGGCTTTGGTATGAGGATGAGGTTGAGGATGAGAATGAAGAAGTTGAAAGTTAGTTTCTTTGGCTTTGGGTAATTTCTGTGTTATTAATGTTTTTTTGTGTTTGGAGTAGTTGAATTGTTTGTTTAGATTTGGTATCAAAATTACTACTTTCTTGACTATTTTGTTTTGTTGAATTTATTTGTTGTGCAATTGGATAAAGAATGCCATAGCCTAGAGATTGAACTTGTGTAAATGTTATAGACTAGCATATCATGAACTCATGGTTAGAACTTGTCTCTGTAAATTGGTTTGCAAGGAAAGGACACCTAAGAGTTTATATAGAGACATTCAATCTTATTTTTAACTGATGTGAGATCGTAACATAGCAAATGAGTATTCTTGTAGTGCTGCAGATTTTGCTCAGAAAAATCCGGCCAAAAAATAGCTTTGTTATCACTTCGTCACTGGATGTATGGAGAAACGCAGCCATACCTGTGCATCATACCTGCATGCAAAGAGGTTGTTTCTGTAGAAATATTTAGGCCAGTTGCAGATTCGTGTCGATCTATTATTTTGAATGCTACCTTGAAGATGTCAAATACAATGAAGGTATTTTGTTTATACCTGCTACTTGACATTAAAAACTACTGCTTTGTAGCTGCATTTGGGCAAATCCACAGACAACATGTTGCAAGTATTTGTGTGGACATGGTACAATTACCATGTGTGCTATCTTATAGATGTTCATTGAGCCATTTAGTGTGTCAAAATAAGATGTAAGTTAGTAAAGTAACATATATGACCGTTGTTTGATTTGTTATTTAATCAATTTGCTTACATTTCAATGCACGAGCCAATGGATACAATTGACTATCGCGTTTGTACGTATAGACCCCAAAAAATTTTGAGTGAGGGAGCAAGCAATTCAGATGATCAATAGAATTTAGGGTTCTCTATCCTGTTTCCTTCAATTCACTCGTCCAATATTGGTAGGATAATTTTATGTGCATTAAACTTGTATACCAAAACTTGCACTAAATCAACTAGAGTCATTGAATCATTGGGTTCAACGACTGATTGATGATCAACTAAATTTTATGTATTTGTGATTGATGATCTACAACTAAAAATTTTGAAAGAAAGTGTGATTTCAAGCATCTAAATCCAACCTATGCATTAAAAAAGCATTCATTGCACCCACATATGTAGCTGAAAACAATTTCTCTTGGCAAGAAAAATTTCAACATTTTGAAATATTGATCCCTAGGAGTACACTTACACCCGACATCGTAAAACCTATATATAAATACATACCCACTAATACACGATAAATACTGAAGAAAATTGAGAGACAAAATGGAAGGGATTTAGATCCTGATATATTGATTGTCAATCTAAGAAGCGGAGAACTGCAATCTCCAATTATGAAGTCAAGATATCACTGTAGTAATTATACACGTAATTCTTCTCCCACATTGCAGGCTAGTGCAGTGTAAGTGTACATAGCAAGTTAGTGACAACCCTAAAGCAAGTTAATGACAACCTTCATAAGCTGAAACTCTAATGATAATGAATGAAACAACACAACACAGATAAAAACCTTAAATTTTCAGGGCAAATTCATGTCCAATGGATAAATAATTTTCAACAGCAGAATCGAGTCCCAGTTGCATCTAAAGTGGAAAATAACAACATCAAGGCCATGGTTTCAAGATTTGATCTCAATTTGGGGAGAATGAACAAGAAACGGGAATTTCAATATTTATTTGTGTGGAGATACAGAGTTGCTTATCAAATTACTACTTGAGAACTTGAACAATGACACTAAGGTATCGGATTTAACAACTAGGGGGTTAAACAATAACATTGGGGATAATGATCAATTATTTCAATAAGGCACGAAAAGTTAGCATTGGAGAGGACCACTAGAAGTGTTTTCAAACTGTATGATAGAGCTCACCATCACATACAAATGCAAGTAATGCAGCTCTGCCACTTCTGAATCAAAGGTTTCGACACATATCAAGTAATTGCAGTAACTTTGGAAACAATCCAAGGAAAAGCTTCCCTGAAGTATATTTATATAAAGTCTCTCATTTGAGAGACCTCAAATAGTTGGTAACGAGGACTTGTTGAGGTGACTTAGGTGGTTTTACTTTTATCAAACTACAAAGTGCAATGAATGGCTGATTAGCTGCATCGAAAGTATGCTACATGCATGAAGAGATTGAAAAATTTGCAGTTAGCATCATAACCCAGCCAGATGAGCAAGAAGCCTGACCACCATGCTGAACTTGCCCCACCAGGATCAGCTAGCCAGAACCATGAATGGAAGCTCCCTCCTGTGCAAGCACAGAAAACGAAGGGAAAAGAAAATGCACACTCCCTACGCAGGCATTATCCTGTTCAGGTTCAAAGGGACTTTCTCAGCCTGACCTGCCTGCATCTTGGCCTAGCCAGTGATGAAGCAGATACAGACACCCCTGGTGCCTTTCTTACGTCAATGAACGAGCAAAACAATTATGAAGAACAGATTGTGAAAGTGATTTTTATTACAGAACACTGAGACATCCTTAAACAAAGAAGATCAGTTTGTCTCAATTTATTAATCAAACTGAAACATGAACTCACCAAAGGCTTGAAGATGAAGCCCTAAACTCCATTCTTGATTGGTCAATCGCATGCCAATGCTCCAAGAAGTTTCAAACCAGCACTCCCTGCAATAAATTCCTGTAAGATAACCCCACCATAATTGGTGAAAGGAACTAAATATTCATAGGTCCATAGAGCAAAATTATTTACAATAAGACAATATTCTGGCCATTATGAATTCTAGTACGATCAATATTGAAAAACTGTCATTTATATAATAACAGATATAAATGACACATAATAATTCTCCGGAGACACCATGGCAATGGCATCACTTATCGATATTGCTTGTATAATGGGTTAGTAAAACAGAACTCCTTGTTCAGCTTTCTATTCGGCAAGCCCATCTCTCTCTCTCTCTCTCTTTCACACACACACACACAAACACTCCTTAAGTCTCTTTGGATTTATGTTCATCATAATTGTGCCATCATTTTATATTCCTATAGCAGTCATTAGATGATACCAAATACTACTGACCTTCAGATCTTCACAGAGTTTGTGTAATTTGCTGGCAAGTAGATTTCTCCACCAACCTCACCGTGTTGTTCCCCACTCAGTCTTCTTCACGGCCAAGAACTCTGCACTCATAGCTTCCATTCCATCCTTCACAGCTTCCTCAGCATTCCCATAACCATGCTCCTCGGCATACTTCCGTACATCTTCTGTTATCTTCATAGAACAAAACTTAGGCCCACACATAGAGCAGAAATGAGCCACTTTAGCGCCATCTGATGGCAAGGTTTCATCATGGAATGACATGGCAATCATTGGATCCAATGACAAAGCAAACTGATCCATCCATCGAAACTCAAACCTTGCCTTGCTTGGCGCATCATCCCAGGCTTGAGCATGTGGGTGACTCTTTGCAACATCAGCTGCATGAGCAGCTATCTTATATGCTATAACTCCAGCTTTCACATCATCACGATTAGGTAAACCAAGGTGTTCTTTAGGTGTCACATAACAGAGGAGTGCAGTGACTAGCGCCCCAATATTGGCAGCACCAATGGCTGAGGTGATATGATCATATCCGGGAGCAATGTCAGTAGTCAAATGTCCAAGAGTGTATAAGGGTGCTTCACTACACCACTCTAGTTGTTTTTGCATGTTCTCATTCATAACCTAAAAAATGCACATGGCCAGTTTAAGTCCAAGTTTTGTCAAGGAAAACAACAGAACAAGGTTGCAACAGGTTAACAAGGATGCAAAGATTCCCCATGGTACTCAATTTCTGGATTTCCATAAAAAAAAAAGCAATGTGCAAAAATTTTGGAATTGACCCCCAATAAAGAAACTGCCTCACTATAAATTACTGTCCACCAAGCAACCAGTCCCAGTCATCAATTTAAACACACAGATATATGAAATCCATAAAAAGCAACCACTGTAACACAAACGAGTGCAATTCTATATTTTTTTTGGTAAGAAGTGCAACATGATAGTTAAAGCCTGCCTAAATTACATGATATACTTTCAAACGGGTTGGAGCGAACACTTCAGAGAGCATGGTTTGGACCCTGACGACACAAGTAAAATACAGATTTTCCAGAGGTAAGCTGGACGATATTTCATTTTCTTATAAAATTCAAACTAATTTCAACAGTTACTACCAAATTTTGGCAAAGTCATACCCCCAATTTCACAGGACAAGTTTAAAGAGATAATTTTGCTGAACATTCTCAAAGAAAATTTTGAATTAGGTTGAACAGAGATGAGGTAACTAAACAAATACCCTTTTTGTACAAAGGAAGGTATAGAAAGGGTATAGCAAAAGGTCGTTGCCTGCACATCCTTTTCCCAAGTTCTACGTGTCAATTCTCCTCGAGTTAATAGCTCTGCAAACTGAGCAGTGTCATTGGCATCATAAATTGACCCAGGTCTCAGTCCATCACCTATTGACAATGATATATCATATTGATTACATATGTCTAATATGTCATCCCAGTGATCATAAGCAAAGTTCTCCTTGTGATAAGCTAAGCACCACTTTGCGTGAATTGATCCCCCGCGAGAAACAATTCCAGTCATTCGTTTCGCTGTTAAAGGGATATATTGAAGCTGAACGCCAGCATGGATTGTGAAATAATCTACACCCTTCTCCGCTTGCTCAATCAAGGTGTCTCTGAAAACTTCCCAGTTCAGATTCTCTGCGATTCCATTCACTTTTTCAAGTGCTTGATAAATTGGGACAGTCCCCACTGGTACAGCAGAGTTACGTAGGATCCATTCACGGGTTTCATGGATGTGGCGGCCCCTGGAGAGATCCATAACAGTGTCAGCACCCCACATTGTTGCCCATTGAAGCTTGTGAACTTCTTCCTCAATGGAGCTCACAACAGCAGAATTCTCAATATTTGCATTCACTTTCACCAAGAAGTTTCTCCCAACTATCATTGGCTCCAACTCCAAGTGCCTCTTGTTGGAAGGGATGATAGCACGACCACGGGCAACCTCTGCTCTCACAAACTCTGGGTCAAGCTTCTCACGAGCTGCGCAGAACACCATTTCCTCTATTATAATTCCTTGCTTAGCCTAGAACATCTGGGTGTATCTTGGTCCGCCTAACGTCTCTCACCAATCAGCCCAGTCTTTGCGCAGTTTAGGAAGTCCTGTTCAGGGAAACCATTTGTTTGAAATTCCATGAGTCAAACATTAACAAAAATGCAACACTAAGCTTAAGAACAATACATAAAGAAAGCAAAGAAATACCATACAATTATCACCGGTGAGGTAATTTATCATATAACTGAAATTTTCAACAGTAAAGTTCTTTTTGTAAACAAAACCAGAAAATCGGATATTTTCAGCAGAAAAGTTCTTGACAAAACATAAACTTTTCAGCCACCAAGTTGACGGAATATGAGTGACCATGACCATTATAGAGTTCGGAATCCTTCTAACCATATGAGAGAAATTATAGTAAAGGAGTTAAATGTAGATTCACATAGCATAGTAGAAAGAAGTATGGCATTATCAAATACTATAATATCACAAGAACAGATTTCTTCCGTGGTGAACACGAGTCCGTCGATTGAGTAGTCAATTTTGCTACTTGGAATAGGTTGTAAGGGTCGAAGGTGGCCTATGAAGTGATGATGGATTGTTTTTATGGGTCGCCTGACTGGTTTTGGGAGATTAAGAGAGGTTCCTGAAACAGAGAAAAACAGGATAGAAGGGCGCCAGAGTGTTTTTGCGTACTTTTTTAATGTGTTTATGAGGACTATTTATACCTTATAAAACTCATCATTGTTGACAGTGTAACTAGTAGGTAATCATTAGAGGTGGGCAATGTGCACACTAATTTATATGAAAAATGTTCTCATTCTTAACTGCTCGGGACGCCAAACAACTAATGTCTTCTCCTCGGTCTACCGAGCGTTTAATGATCTTCTCTCGGTAGGGATGTATTAAGTGCCTAGGCATAGGAATATTTATTACTTTTCATCTCCATTCTCTTATGCATTAAATGTTGTCTCATCGAGTGAAAGATGCATTAAATGTCTGACCTCCCAAGCCGTGTGTCAGCAAGGATATTCTAGTCTTTTCATCTCTGACCTAATACAATATGTCATGTGTTCATTCTCCTTTGGTTGAGCCTTTTGCTTCCTTGTGCCTCTTGACACCATTTGCGTAGCACGATGTTATGATGGCTAATCTAGCCTAGCCTAGGCTAGTAACCTGTTAATCAATAGCCCCTGCAGGAGCAGAAATGCCCACATGGGCAGATACACCTCTGTGCCGAGATACTAGCATGATTAGGGATTGATATCTCAAATTAACCGAGAGATACGTGTCGGTCCATGGCGTGTTGGGGATCCTTGATCCCTGTGAATAGTACCCTTGGAGAAGAGGGTTATAGACCGACGAGGACATGTCAGAATCACAGCAGAGAGTCTCCATTGACGCAGAGTACACGAGTTGTCATCTTGGTGTGTTTGGAAATGTCCCATCAACTACCCCCAGCCTTCGATTTTCTGACGCAGAGGACACCCGTCGTAAGAAGATGAAGGGTTCTGCAACTGTCCCAACCACCCCATCATTGCTTTCAGCCATTTTTCACCGCTTAGGAGATCGTGCACGTTAAATGCGACTTTTTGTGCTTCGTGCCCAATGATGGGGACAGACTCTATATAAACGGACTTTCTCTCTCTTTCCCACACTTTTACCATTTCGAACTCTTAGAGAGCTTTCACCGAAAACTTTGCTGGAGACCGCCTTGTCACTTCGTCTACCAATCAGTCATCACCGAAGTTTAGACCATCAAACCCCCTCTTGCTTCTGAACCTTCTCGAGAAAGGAACCATTCCAAGTTCTTTAGAAATCTTCATTTGCATTCTGGTGAGTCCTTGCATCCTCTTTTTTTCTATCCTTCTTCTGGGTTTTGCTTTTCATTTTTCGGTAATCGGAGGTGTTTCTAGTTGTCATCGTTTGACCAACCCTCAAGAAACCTCTTGGGGTTCTTTGTAGGAAAACTCTTTTTTCTTCCCCCCCCCCTTTTTTTATTAGAGATGCCCCGATGTCGCTCTGGCACCGAGGCTCCCCAGGCTAGTTTCTCGAGGCCAGGGAAGTACAAAGTGAAGGGAGACCAGCAGATCAATAGGTTTAGGGCCCGATATCACATCCCCCAAAATGTAGGTATAGAAGAGTACGACCCAGTTTTGCATAATCATAATTTTGGGACCGAGGATGAGATGTCCTTTTACACCAAAGCAATCATAGAGGGTGAAATTAGGTTCCCCCTGCCTTCTTTACTCATCTAGTTCTTCTCCCATTTCAATCTCTTCCCATGGCAGTGTTGTCTTAATGTCTTTAGGGTAATAATGGGGGTCCTAGAGCTTAATAACTGCCTCGGGATAAACATTGGGCTCAACGATATCCTTTTTTGCTACTCTTTATTAAGGGTCATGCCCCAGCAGAACTTCTACCTCAAAGCCAGGGATACATCCATATACCTTGTAACTCACCTCCCTGATTTAGATAAAGGGTGTAACGATGACTTTTTGATCTTCAGTGGATCTTGGGAGCGGAGAATCGGTCCCGAGTACGATGGTCTAAGGTGCCCACTTGAATGGAGAACGACAAGTACGTCGGCTTCTTCGAGTCCAATTTTTTACTGTTCTTGGAATATTTTGCAAGTGTTAATATCCTTCTTTCTTGTGTAGATGTCTTTGCCTAGGAAGTCGCTCCTCTTCCTTGGTCTTTGGTAAACTTTGCTGACCTCGTCATTGTCTGGGAGTTTATCGACGACGACGGGTTTGGCCAGGCCGCTCATTTTCTTTTGAACTATACAGCAAGGTACAAGAAGTTTTCTTAGCTCCCCCAACCTTTCGACCCTTCGCAGTGGTCCAAACTCTTTAATCAAATAACGCAACAAGAGGCCAAGCAGAACTTGGAGGAAGATCCTGATAGGGCTATCGAGGCAAAAGTAGAGGGCACCTTCGAAGTTGAGGAGTTCGAGGCCAGAGAGGCTTTTGTTCGTTCGCACGCCGAGGTGGGGACCTTAGGGAGAGATTCGTGGGTTGACTTCAACATCCTCCACTCCCTAGACGTTGATGATGCCTTTGAGGTAGTCATGTCACATCTGCCCCGCATAGACTTGAGTTTCTTGAGGCAGAGGCAGACCCTCGCCACAGGGAGAGGAAGGGGGTCAACCAGCGGTGCCCCATCAACAAGGACCAGCACCGACCCCCCACCTTCGAGGGCCGCTAGTCGGGGTCAGGTGCGTTACCGAGATCCTCAGGTTGAAGAGGAGAGAAGAACCAAGCTAAGGCACGATGGCCTTGGTAGGGGGTCCAGGGCCCCCTCTGCTCAACAGTAAAGCGGGAGGGGCCGTAGGTTGCCCCTTCCACCCCAACAGCAACAACAATAGCAAAGATATCAACAACAGCAACAGAGAACTCCACCTCCCCTACCGCAGATGGTAGAAGCTGCAGAATGGAACCCTCAGGCTACTAATCACATGAGCCGGGTGATCAGGGTCAACGATTCCATTCTGCAGGACCCCTATGTCACCAATGCAGTGAGCGAGATGCTCCACTTCGAGGCCGACATTGAGGCTCACAAGGGGCGAACAACGAATACGTTGTTCTGTTCCATCATTTAGAACTCTCTGGTGGTAAGTTCATCTTTGGTTTAGTCTTTCCTTATTGTATCACCCACAATTGATCAGGTTTTTTTCCTCGCAGGCCAATCAACAAATTTCTATAATCGCTGCGCGATACCATGCAACCAGAATAGACCTTCAACGGACCCAAGAAAAGAAGGAAGTGGTTAAAGGAGCCTTGGTCGCCGCCAAAGAGGACATGACTGCCAGGGACTCCACTCTTGTAGGCCAGGACACTCAGATTGAGCAACTGCTCAAGGATAATGAATCGGCGAAGGTTGGCACTAAAAAGCTAAGGGCCGCTTTGGCCTATGCTGAGAGGAGAATTATGGAGCAGACGTAGCGGTTCTCTACGATTGAGGCGAGGACGTCAGGTCGGAGGAGAACTGCCTAGTCCTAACCCAGGAGCTTGACAGAGTCATGGCTAAAGCAGAGAACAAGAAGTTAGAGGAGCAAATCCGAGAGGAGTTTGTCGATGACATACTACCCACCCTTGAGGAGAACAACAAAGAGTTCTTCAAAAAGAGGTGGGATGAGGTGCTCCGAGCCATCGGTGTTCTTCTAGACTCTCCACTTTTTCAGATGCATATCTACGTGCCATCGGCAGAGATGGTGTAGGCTGAGGCCGAGATGGCTGCCGAGGGCGTGGCCCTAATGCTGATGCAAGTTTTGGCAGACTCACCTGAGGTGGTAATTCTCGTTTCATCTGATGAAGCCCTGCCAGAGTTAGCCCCTTCTACCCCCGAGTCCAACATTCCTCAGATCCTGCATGTTGCTGATTCTGCTCTAGCTCCACCTGCCCCAGAAGCTGTTCATCCCTTCAGCGTTGATTCCTCTTGCAGCGAGGTGGGGGAGATGCCTGAGCCTAGATGAAAATTCTTCCTGCCTTTTGAACTATTGCCTCCCTGCCTTTTGAAATGTACTTTTGAATTTGAATATGCATTTTTCCTCTTTTCTTGTAGCTCTCGGGGACGCAAAGCCCTGCTTTTGGAAGGAATGACTCTCTTTTCATTATTGAGCACTTGCATTATTTATTTTCACCGTTTTTTTACACTGATGTTGTAGTAACCATTGGTAACAAAATATCTTCATAGCTCTGACACATGGGGAGCAATTTAGCTTATCCGCCCGATTGGTTCAGCTTCATCATTTCTAAGGGTCGTACGCCCCCGCGGGGTAATGTCCTTCCCAGTAGTTTGTTCCTTGACATTTGTTACAGGAAGCTTGCTCTCGAGTTCTCTTCGGAGGCAGGAGTCTTTGGACTGCCTCCACTTGCCCTTTTAGGAGGCTTGCTCCTGATTTCTCTTCGGAGGCAGGAGTTCTTGAACTCTGCCTCTAAGGCCTTGCCCTTTTAGAAAGCTTGCTCCTGATTTTCCTTCGGAGACTGAAATCCACGGATTGC